AGAAAGAAAGAAAGAAAGAAACACGCGCTAATCAAGCTTTTGAAAATTATTATTTTTTTGGAGTCGGAGTCTCACTCTGTCGCCCAGACTGGGGTGCGGGGGCCGCTCCCGGCCACCGCAGCCTCGGCCCGCTGGGCTCCGGCCATCCTCCGCCTCGGCCTTCCGAGTAGCTGGAACTTCGGGCGCGCGCTACCCCGCCCGGATACTTTTGGACTTACTGTAGAGATGAGGTCTCGCCAAGTTGCCCAGGTGGGTCTGGAACCCCAGGCTCCCAAAGTGCTGGGATTACAGGTTTTTCAAGTTTTTAAGTCTGCGTTGGCCACGGTTTAGATCCCGCAGCGTTAAGCACCCCGAGTGCAATGGGATGGGCTGAGACCCCCAAGGGCGTCCCTGATGGACGCAGGAAGGTCAGTGCCCTGGGATGTCACCCGAGCAGTGCGTGGCTTCCTCATTACTTCTGTCCCCCTGCCTCTGGAAAGGCAGGGGGGCTTTGGGGAGCTCAGACAGGCCCGGACTCCTCGCACCTACCCTTTGTTTTACTGCCAGTGAGATGTTGGAGTAGTTAGCCGTCCCCAAGCCCGATGAGCCTATTCCCCTCTCTAAAAGCCAGGCCTCCTGCAGTGGACTAAGGATGGCAGGACGGTTGGTTTGCATCAAGTGCCTGGCTTAGATGGTCAAAAAATGTTAATTTCCTGGGCTTGTGCATGCATCACCCTCTCCAAACTTTTCCACATCCCAGAGAAGGTTTTCCCCAACTCTTTGGAAGAGTGGACGTGATCATCCCCCCCCCCCCCCGCCAAAAGTCAATGTCCTCAATTCCCCAAGCCGCTGGCGCACTCTGCTTTGTTTTGTATTTCTGTTTTGTTTCATAACGATAGCCCCTACCACCCATCCAGCAAAACAACAGCAACAGAAACCTCTGACTACATCTCCATATTCCAAACTGTTCGTGGCATCCTGGGAGCGTGTATCAAATTGGATTCTGATGAGCTATTCCCTGTCAGGCTCTCTCATCAAACTGTAGACTTCAGAACCCGGCATCGTGTTCAGGTAGAAGATTTAAATTCGGGTCAAGTGGAGGAACGAGGACAGAACAATCGTTTCTACTTATAAATGCTCAGAAAGGCGCCTGGTCCACTACCAGGGGGAGTGAGGGCCAGGTAGAACCCAAGCTTCACCTGCACGCAGCCTACCTATGCAGTTAATCCTCCCGTGTACCCCACAACTCTATAATTAAAGAATACATTTTTAAAAGGAAAAATGAATCATCAAAGAAAAGGGAACATCCATTTGGACTGCAAAATAATAATGCATTATATAGTAAATTCAACTCCCTGAAAAGAAAGACGGTTGACCCTGACTTACATTTGTCTCTGTTTCTCCCTCAGATGGGGCCTTTGTTTCCAACCCTAGAGTGGATGGGAGTTTCAGGTAGACCGCATTTGCTTCCCTGGCCCTCTTGCACTTGGCCTTGGTCCAGCTATGACCTAACA